GACAGGTGAAGGAGTGCTCATGCCGTAAATCCATTGATTAGAATTGTGTAGCTGGAACCAAGTGGTATTTTGATCGAGTCGTTGAAGTTGACAGCTGGTTGCGTCTTTATTGTGAAACAAGTCCATTTCACATTTTCCTATTTCGGCGTTTGCTCGATAAATTGGGTGTTGTTGATAGCATAGATAGATGTTGTTGCTGACCTCATGACAACCGACCAACTCCTTATTCATAGGATACAGTTGTTCCTTATGCAAATTTATTCCGATAAATCTTGTTAAAAGTTTAATGATGACAAGTGACCCATTTATTGCAGCTGGAATTGGTGTTAATTGGAACAATTCAAATGTTTCAGAATCTACTAATGGCAGTAGTAGCGAAAATACAACCTGTGTATCCGTTTTAAATAGCTTGAGTTCAATGAGTCGAAAATACTCCAAGATGCTGTCATCTTCTATTGGAAGTTGTAGATTTTGCGATAAGTGTGTCCGAATGTTTTGCAGTTCCTTTCGAAACTGATCAGTGGATATGAGTAGAGGATTAATCTTGCCATGATGACCATCGGTGATAGCGTCTATTAAGGCCTGTTGTTGCATTTGGAAGTTGTGAGTTAACGTTAGTACTTGCAACGCCAATGAAGTAAATGTATAATATAATGCACTTTTGTCGAGTGCATTACTGACATTATTGATAGTTGACATTATCAACTTTATTTGTGCATCTAAGTCAGTGAATTTCCGTTTTGAGGCGTCTTGAGTTTGTTTCAAGATGTTTAGTGTTGCGTCCAAAATTGATGTGTGGTTTTTAAGTAATTTGTTAAGGTATTCTTCGTTGTCGTAGATTTGGCTCAAATGGTGTTTCATCTCTGTTTCATAATTTGAGTCTAATACGCCAAACAAGGAATTAGCTACATTTCCAATAATATTTATTGCTCCCCGTTTCGATCTTGCAATAGGGGATTTGAGTAGGGCATTTTCCATTTCAATGTCGCTGTGCCAGTGGTCATAAAAGGTTACGAGTCTGTCGCATGCAAATTGGCCACCGCTTTGATGACAAATGTTATCAAGGGCTGCTGTAGTCGACCTAATCGAATCCCAGGCAATCCAAAAAGATGATAAATTGTAGTATACTACAATGTTCCACTGACTTGATATGATTTTGGTAGCTCCGATGTTTTCGAAATAGAGTCCAGGTCTGGTAAATTGCTCGACGATTGGGCTGCATTGGGATGCAGTCACAAAACAGGCCATTAAAGTTGTTAGCAGAACGTTTCCTATGCTGAGTCGTCGCCGCTTTTTTGGGGTACTATCTTGAACAGTTGGCGTAGGGGCCTCCGTTATTGTTTCATTTATGCATATTGGTTTTTCGGATGTGTTTTGCTCGATTGGTTCGCTTGTATCGATCGGCAGTAGTGCTAGTCGATGAATTGCTCGTTTTATTATACCATTTTTGGTACGCACATTAGCTACACGAATTTTTCCATCTGGGCCTATGAAGGTTTCTACTATTCTCCCCAACGGCCACTGAAGTGACGGTGTATTATCTTCATGAATTAGAACCATTTGGCCCACTTTGACATTGTCTTGGACCTTTTGCCACTTTGATCGGTGCTGTAAATCACTTAAGTACTCTGACCGCCATCTATGCCAGAAGTCGTCTTTAATACTGATAATGCGCTCATATCTTTTTTTTAAATTTAAATGTAGAGGCTTCGCGTCAACATGAATTGTTGCAGTGAGGGGATCACCGATTAAGATATGTCCAGCAGTTATGGCGGTTAGGTCGTTAGCATCTGATGACGTCGGAGTTAGTGGTCTCGAATTCAAAATCGCTTCGATTTCTATTATGAGTGTTTCTAACTCCTCGTATGTAAGACTGACGTTCGATGCACTTCGTTTAAATAGATTTTTTGCTGACTTGACGGCAGCTTCCCACAATCCACCGAAGTGTGGGGCTCGTGGTGGGATGAACTTAAAATCGATATTGTACGAACAGCAAACACCCTGTATTTTTTCTTGGCTTCTTTCATCGAACACAGCATTTTTTAGTTCAGCAAGTTCCTTATTAGCTCCAACGAAATTAGTGGCATTGTCACAGTATATTTTCCGGCACATCCCTCTTCTTCCTATGAAACGTTTTAATGCCATGATGAATGCGTCAGTTGTAAGATCTGTGACTACCTCCATATGTATGGCCTTTGTTGCAAAGCAACAAAATACGGCCACGTAGCTTTTTGTTGGACGTTTTCCCCTGATACGATAATGAGTCCATATTGGACCCCAAAAGTCAGCTCCTGAGTTTACAAATGCTCGTGCTGGTTCAACGCGATCATGTTGCAAAGCAACAAAATACGGCCACGTAGCTTTTTGTTGGACGTTTTCCCCTGATACGATAATGAGTCCATATTGGACCCCAAAAGTCAGCTCCTGAGTTTACAAATGCTCGTGCTGGTTCAACGCGATCAGTGTTGCAAAGCAACAAAATACGGCCACGTAGCTTTTTGTTGGACGTTTTCCCCTGATACGATAATGAGTCCATATTGGACCCCAAAAGTCAGCTCCTGAGTTTACAAATGCTCGTGCTGGTTCAACGCGATCAGTTGGCAAATTTCCCATGATTTGATTTAGTAGTGTCGGTTTCGCCTTGGTGCAGATAACGCATTTGTGAATAATAGTTCTTGCTGTCATCTTTCCTTTGAGTGGCCAGTATTGCTGTCGCATGATTGCCATTAATCCTTGTGGTCCAATATGTTTGTTGCGGACATGAGTCTCTTGTATTAACAGCCTTGTTAATGGGCAATCTGGTAGCAAGACTGGGTGCTTCGCCTCAAATGAAAGTGAGGAAGATTGAAGCCGCCCGCCAACTCTTAGAAGACCTTGTTGATCAATGAATGGAGACAAAGCCTTAATTGTACTAGTTTTGCTGACTTCTAAGCCCTTACGAAGTGAATTTTTTTCTTCTGCTAATCCCTCGTCTTGTATCATGCGAATGATCACTTGACGAGCACGTGTCAATTCTACACTGGATAAGTGACATTCGTTTTGTTCCAATGATGCCTTCCGGAGAATTTGTGTGCAACGAATAACATAAGCAGTTATTCTTTCCAATTTGGAAAAGGAATTCTTATGATCGATATTGTGTAAGAAATGTGGTTTGTTGGGATCGATTGTTACTGCATGTATTGATCTCTTAAGTTCCACTTTACATTCTGATCTGGCTTTGAATGGAGCAGGCCATAGTGACTGGTGACCATGCAGGAACATAGGACCGTAAAACCATAAGTGGCAGCTGCTTAGTTTGGATGCTTCAATGCCGCGCGATAGTATGTCGGCAGGATTATCCTTGGATCTAACATGTCGCCATTGGCCCTTGCTGGAAATTTCGAGAATTTTTGTCACCCTATTTGCCACGAATGCGTAGTAGGAGGCTGCCGATGAATTGATCCATGCCAATACAATTTCCGAGTCTGTCCATAAATGTGTTGTGGTATCTGTCAACTGCATGCAATTTTTTACCTTAGCTAATAATTGTGCTGTTAGTAGAGCGGCGCATAGTTCTAACTTTGGGGTTGTTAATTTCTTGATTGGGGCTAATCTCGATTTAGCACAAAGGAGGCGGACAATCACTTGTCCGTGCTGCGTAATGGAACGTAGATAAATTACTCCGCCGTAAGCTCGTTCTGAAGCATCGGCGAAAGCATGTATTTGCGTTGATTTTGGAATCTCGTTTCCGAAAAGATGACGTGGCTGTTTTATGTTATTGAGACAGTTTAAGCTTTCCATGTAACGCACCCATTGACAGGTTAGCTCGTTTGACAATTCTTCGTCCCAATCAAGTTTCAGCGTCCACAAGTGTTGCAAGAACAATTTAGCTTCTACTGTGACTGGACTAACGAGCCCAAGCGGATCGAAAATTCGAGAAATGTCGGATGATATACTTCTTTTAGTATATTTGACGTGTTCGTTTTTGTTGATCTGTATCTTAAACTCATCTGTTGTTGGGATCCACACTTGGCCCAATGTCTTAATGTGACCGCATTCCATCGTGTTGAAGTCTAGTTGTACAGCTATGTCGGATGGGTGCAACCCTTCCATTAATTTTGGATGATTGCCGCACCATTTGCGAAGCTTAAAGCCACCCTTGTGCAATAGTTTTATAAGTTCGTTTCGTGCATGTAATGCTTCAGACATACTGTTGAACCCTGTCATGACGTCATCTACGTAAAAATCTCTTTTGACGATAGCTGCAGCTGTCGGGTGCCTACTTTCTTCAATTTCAGCCAACCGTTGCAAGCATTTTGTGGCAAGATACGGTGCTGACGATGTCCCATAAGTTACGGTATTAAGTTGATAAGTTCGAAGAGGCTCATTGTCGTTGTTTCTCCATAAAATTAGTTGGAATCGACGGTCATCTTGGTCCACCATAATTTGACGATACATCTTCTCGATATCGGCCGTGAAAACGAATTTAGATAAACGAAAACGTGTCAGTATAGCGAATAAATCATCCTGGATAGTTGGACCAGTAGCTAACACATCATTTAAAGATATGCTTGTGGAAGTTGGTGCAGAGGCGTCGAACACTACTCGAAGTTTCGTGGTGGAGCTCTCTGGTCGAAGAACTCCATGATGAGGCAAAAAATAACAGGGATGGATTATATCATCTGGGTTGATCACACTCATATGTCCCAGGTTGATGTACTCTTCCATAAATTTATTGTATGTTGTTTTGAATTCAGGGTCTCCGTTGAGACGTCTTTCTACAGCGAAAAAACGTTGCTGTGCTAATCTTTGCGAATAGCCTAAAGAAGTGACTTCTCCTTTGAATGGTAATTTCACAACGAATCTACCATCAGTTGATCTTGCCACAGATCGATTAAAGTGTTCCTCACATTGCTGTTCTTCAAGTGTTTGATCCGACGAACCTTGCTGTATCTCCTCTAGTTCCCAAAATTTGTGCAGGTCGAGTTCTACATTATTTGTAAGAACACCGCAAATCGATGCAGAAGACGAAAACCCAGAAATCCGACCACTGACCATCCACCCAAACACAGTTTTTTGTAACATTGGATAATTGTTTCCTAGCGAAATTCTCCTTGGCAGAACCATGTCGTTGTATAATTCAACGCCAATAAGAATATCTACTGGACCTGGTTTGTTGAATTGGGCATCAGCCAACACAACTCCTTCTGGTATAGCCCAATTTGATGTATCCAGTTCAATTGCAGGCTGATTTGCAACTATTGTTGGCAACATATGAGCTTCTATTTCAGTTTTGTAGTTAGTTACACTAGATGATATAACTACGTAGACTCTTTTTTTTGAGCACTTGTTTTTCTGACCGACGCCACTAAGATTCAGCGAGCTTGATAATTGAGTTAGCCCAAGTTTTCGTGCTGCTCGTTCTGTTATGAGGTTCACTTGTGAGCCTGAATCCAGTAATGCACGCATCTTGCATTCCACGCCCTGAGAATTCAGAACCGTCATTATTACAGTTGCTAGTAAACCATAAGATTTCTTCAACTCTACGGGTCTACTTGTTGTAAGCGTAGCTGCTGCATGCCCACCTAATTGGTGTGAATCGTTATTTCGCGATGAGTCAGTAGTGACCTGAGACTTGCCATTGGCAGCATAAAGTTCATGTAAAGTTGTATGATGCCTTCTTTTGCATTTCAGACAACCCTGAGATGGGCATTTTGTTGAAAAATGGCCCGAGCGCAAGCAATTTACACAACGTTTGGCACTGAGAATCATATTTCTGCGAATTTCCGGGGGGTTTTTCAAGTAATTTTTACAAGTGGAAGTTTTATGATCTCCCTTGCAAGCTAAACATTTTAACATTCCATTTGTAGTATTTAAACACGCCTTGTTAATGCTCTTGCCTCCAATTGCCTCTAATGCTTGGAAGCGAAGTTCTAAAAATTCCAGAAATTCATTTAACTGTTGGATTCTTCTTGGATCCTTCACGTTCTGTTCATACAAGCTGTGTGTTATTGGATCCAATTTCTTCGTCAAAATGAAAAGTATTATTGGATCCCAGTTTTCGATGTTGATTTCAAGATTTTTAAGTCCAAGAATACACTCAGAAGTTGTATCATGGAGTCGTTTGATAGCTTCAGAGCTTTCAGATGTTATAATTTGTTGAGAAATAAGTTTTGCAATAAATGCATTCACAAGAAGCCGCTTATTATCGTAGCGCTGGCAAAGTAAACTCCAGGCACTACTAAAATTATCCTCAGATACTGTTAAATGAGCAATTAGACGTGCTGCTTCTCCGTCCAAATTCGATTTTAGATAAAACATTTTTTGGCAATTCGCAAGTGATTGTTTATTTACCACTTCATTGAACAAGTCGCGAAATTGCCTCCATTCCAAGTAGTTCCCACTGAACCTTGGTATTATTACTCGTGGTAACTGCATTGATGCAGATGTTAATGTTGAGGTATGCGAAGACGTTGAAGCAAGTTTCAACTCTTCCACCTTTAAGGACATATTTTGGACTTCTCTTTCTAACGATATAAACCCTTCTTCATCATATCCAATAGTTGCTGGATTGGATTCTAATTCACAAATGCTGTAATGGAGTTCCTCAAAATGGGCCCATAAGCGAAGAATAGAATCCTTCAACAGTACCTTACGTGCTAAAGGTATGTCCGTGGTGATGTTAGCGTCAATTAGTTGACGTTTTATAGTTTTGCCAAACTCTTGTTGGCGTCGCATCATTAGAGATAGTTTATTGGAATCACATGAGCTGTTTTTCGTAGCTATTACTTGTGCTTCTACATTCTTATTAGTGGCGAATGAGGTTACGTTTGACAACAATGTTATTTGTTCACTAAAAGTGGCTTCGTATTGTTCCCAAATTTTCAATACCTGTTCATAGAAATTCTTAGTGAAGTATTCATGCGACTTGTCTTCCGAACATTCTTTCTGGAGGGTATTATCATTGATTTCGAATTGTTGCCATGCCTTCTTGAGATCCTGAAGTCGTTTTTCAAAATATGCCGGTGTCTGCTTCCTATCGCTGGAGTCCTTTTTGTAATTTCTGATAATTACTTCGATCTCAGTTGCAATCGTCTTTTGAGCTTGCACGATTTTCTCGATGTTATCCATTGTCCAAGTATAGAAAACAAGAGCGAAACGAGTTTATTGAGCGAAACGGCTTATTATTTTTTATTAGCGAATTTTTAAACACGAAAACGCGACTGACTACGCGATCAATCCTTTATACTAGGGGTCACCAATGAAAACGTCTCAATAGCTTAGATGCTAATGATAGAATTGAGTGCAGACGAAACGTCGACTCAATGGATCTTGAAGAGGAGAAACTCCAATTCAAGTGCGCGAACTTTGGATTGATTCCTTACAATTAAACAAGCAGTTTGCTAGTTAGAAACCTTTATTGTAATGAAAAATGTATCTGCAATTTACCTCTTAAATATAAGTGATAAATTGCCGATACGCATATTAACAATAATGCAAAATTAATAATTAAAATAAATTAATTATAAATTGCAAATAATACAATTTAAATAAAATGCAAAATCAATACAATTGAAATAAAATGCAAAATCAATAAAAATTAATTAAATTATTTTTTAAATAAAAATATGAAATGTTCTAAAACAACGTGGAGTGCATTTGCTGACTTCGCAAAATGCAGTTCCAAGCAAATTGCTTTGCACTGCATTGTTACGAAAGAAGAAGTCAACGAACCGGTCAGCCTTGGCATTGGTTTCGGTTAGGAAATAAATGCAAGTCTATCATATAGTTCGTTGACTTGTCAACAGTTAAATTTCAATACTATTTCAAAACTTATTAATAAATTTGCTACCAGGCAACTTATAGCAACGCTTGATGCTTAATATTCACTAATCCTATATTAAGGCATAGTATATATGTATATGTGCGTTGTGGCAAATCTTTTATGCTCTTCTGTTTTTTTTATATATATATCAGTAGCGAGGCGTCGGCTTTTTGGCAGGGTGTTCACAATTTAATCAAAACAGAATTCCAACTATAACGTATTCCCCCTACTTCTAAGTTTTGTCCTTTCCACAAGCAAATACCGTACAAGACCAATAAAACAATTTATTTAAATGTTCGCAGCCTGTCATCCACTGGTTTTTATTTACCATAAAGCTGTAGCTGTAGGAAAACGACGACTTACCATAGATTTCGACATTTTTACAACAGGTATCAAATTCTTCATATCTGGAGTTGGTTTATTCATTTTATGAATTAAAATCTTTTTTTCAGAAGATCGTTTAAAAAAAGACATTGAATCAAATCTTTAATCACACATTTATCCATTTCTAAATATTATTTTTCACTTATTTTTCTTTAATCTCTTTCTTTACTTTTACCATTTTCTAGTATAAAATTGCAATAATGACTTTGTTTTGATTTATTTCCAACCTCTATATAAGAGTAAGAAACTCTCATTTATTTCATTTACTCTTTTACTTTGTATTTACAATGCCCGGTTCAGTTTTTATACTGAACCATTTGCCCATATAAAACAGCAACCGTGACTTTGATTGTATTTGCACGCTTTGTATAAACTTTTGGTTCAGTTTAGTGGAATGATCCTCTCGTCAAATGTAAAGCGATTTTCGCTCAGTTATTTCTTTTCTCTTTTGTATTTACTTTGCATAACATTGGAAGTGCACTTTTTTTATTGAACTGCTTGCACGCATTAATTTAAGAGTTAAGATTATTTTACGTACATATATTTGTTTGTATGTTTTGTGTTGTGTATTCAATATTGAACATAGTCCCAATGTGAATGTTATTTCATTTGCATGCTTTGTAAGCAACGCGGTTCAGTTTTTATTCTGCACCTTAGTATATTTCAAGAGGAATGTTTTTTCTCTTTTATTAATTATAAGCAATGTTGGGTGTAACTAACATATGTATGTGTGGTTTTGTTTGTATTATACGTTTTGTGTTTATGTTAATATATTTGGAAAAGCTATTATAAAAAATGTTAAGTAGCAAAATAGCGAGATTATTTACCTATAAAAAAAAATCTGAAAAGGAAGCTTTGTTAAGGTGTTCAGTGAACACTCTGAACCATTCGACGCCTCGCCTCTGTATAATATAATAATAATAATAACATACATATACATTTTCTCTTCGCTAAGAGAATGTTCACACAGCAGATTATGAGTTTTATTCTTATCTTGTAAAAATATGTTTCTAAAAAATAATATTTTCTTATTTCATAAATAAAGTGACAATTTTTATTTAAGAACACAAATTAATTTGTTAAAAACATAGTTTTATATTTAAATATATTTTACTTAGAAACACAATTAAATATGTAAATATTATTTAAGAGCCACAATTTTATTATTACAAAATTTAGAGGAAGAAGGAAAAGAAGAGGTTAACAGGAGAAGTTAAGTAGACAGGACTCTACCACTTGAAAATTGAAAGCAGAGAACCCGCCTTAACAGAAAAAAGATAAATATGAAAAAAGACCGTTAACGCTTAGAAGAAGACGTATAGTTGAAAGTTAATTAAAAAAGAAAACTGAAGTTGATATTGACTAAGTTGAGAAGAAGACCAAGTTTAATGGTAAACTGAGCTTATAATCAGATTGGATTAACCAATCAGAATTATTGTTCTATTTTCAATTTTAGTGTCTGTTTAATTATCCAATAGGATCCACGCTTCTAAAATGTAAAGGACGTCGTAAACATATTTTATGTTGGGATCAATGATACTCGGATGCATCATCATCTAAGTATTTCTAATGTAATTGAATGCGTGTTTAATGATCGGACTTTGATATCAAAGAAACACATTATTGTGCCTTAGTAGAGTTCGTACTTGCGTACTCATGAGCAGCTCTTTTCGCCTCATTCTGCTCTCAGCTCTTTACCCGGCAAGAAGCCTTTTCATACGATGGATCACGCTCACAAACGAGCCCAGTTGCAGAGCTCACGCCTGTGACCAAAAGCCGCCATTAAGTTATAAATGGGGTCACACTCGTGAGCAAGAGTACGAGCTGAGACTTATGAGGCCCCATATGCTGCTTGGAAGAAGGTGCTGCATGCTAGAAAATGAAAAATATATGGCATTGTTGTTGTTTTCATTGCACAATTTGGCACGTGCCAAATTGAATTTTGAATTTTGTGCGTTTACTTAATTAGTATTTTGATATTAATTTAAGAGTTTCAAATTGTATTACATTGCGTTTCGGAAAATTTGAAAATAAAAATATATATATTTCAAAGTTTTACGTGAATATAATGAAACAATTTTCTTACAATGCGAAAAACAATGTATTATTGTTTCATTATACTTTTTTATTTTAAATGTAATAAGCTAAGTTAATTTCAAATTATATATTTTCATATATCAAGTAACGTATATAAAAATAAATAAAGCAAATAAACTAATCAAAAATAAATCGCTTTTTATTGAGCATTTGAACTCGTGAGACCTCACGAGCAGCTCTTCAATATGAGTAAATTGAAGGCTCACGCTGGTGATCAGCTCTTCAATATGAGCCAATTTTGGGCTCACGCTCATCAGTCAACTTTGGGCTCACGTAATAATTGGCTAATGCTCATGATCCTGAGCTCCTCATGACTAAGCAAATACGAACCCTGACCTTAAATACCCATAATTAATAAACATTTATTAATTTAATAAACAATGATGCCCTTTGTAATATAATGTGTGTGTTGAATTCTCCATTAATAAATTGTCTCGAACAAATGTGAAATCATTCAATATCGTAAGACATAAAAATGGGTGAATTTTATTGCCCATAATACTATATAATTACCAGAAGTTTGTGTGGTTGCATATGAAACTCATGGCTTTACTTGATTTCGGTTTTCGCTCTTGTTTTTGCAGTCAAGCTTTTAAATAAAAGGGTTTTAAAATGCTGTGATTTAAAGAAATTATTCACAAATAGAGCCCAAAAGAGAGCCAGTAAGACGGGTGACTAACTAAATCCATTCCATCGGACCGTTTCCTCTCATTCATTCGTATTCTCTTTAGAAATCACTTGTAAATATGATACACATTTGAGAATGCAACGAATGACCGCAAAAACGAATGGTTCGGCGCAGCACTTTTTTACTGAATACATATAACATGATTAACCAAACTAAACTGATTTGAATTGACTGATTTATATGTTTATATATTAACTTATACATTTATTTATCATAAATTATTTGTTACAATATACATTTTGTTTACGTATGTGATGTTATTAACCAAATAAGGAACGCATAAGTATTTTATATTATCAAAAGGTAAATATATGATTATGAAGTAGTAAGAACCCCAAAAGATATGTAATTTGATATTATCGTGGTAAAGTCACATGTATTGAATACTTGTGCCAAAATGTTCCAAAAAATAAAGTTTCAGAAACAATTTCTTTTCGTTTCGCTCGAAGTGAACGGAGTTTCCGTTCTTTGTAAGAAATTCTTTGGTTAACAGTTAACTGGTACTTTCGTAGGTACTTCCAAAAGTCGTTCACAATAGACGAATTTTTAGTTTTGACAACCATGCGATTTGAGCTGATTATTAGTTAAGCGATTTCAAAAAGGTTGAACTATATAAGCCAGCAGTGTTGTTGTTTCATAAGGCTAATAACATAATAAGAATCAGCTGATGTAACACTAACATATTCTGGCGTTTGTCTTCTGCAAAACTGAAAGCTGTTTACGGTCTTTTACAAGACCAGTGAAAAACCTGCTACAAAAACTTTTTTTATATATAATAAAAAAAAATAAAAATCAGAATAAAAAAATGAATTATTTAATTAAAATTTGTAATAACTGAACAATTATTTATAACTTTATTATTAATACGACGTAAACGTAAATGTATTAATGTACTATACTGTCTTTAAAAAATTTGAAAATATATATTTTATATATTTATATATGTATAATATAGTATATAAATTTTATACATATCTTTCTTATATATTAATTCATATATTTATTTATTTCTATATATTTAAGCTATAATTTTGAAACTAATTAACTTTTTTTGTTAATGCTGTTGTTAGTGCAGCAATTCCTGCTATTATTTTTTTCATGACATGAGCTAAATTCAGTAAATAATTATTTATGTAT